ATAGCGAACAGCTGATCGTCGGTTCCAAAATGGCCGCCGCTAAAACAAAATGGCGACCGCTGTTTTGCCTCGCTAACGAGGCATCCAAAATGGCCGCCGCAATGGAGGAAACTCGCACAACGGTGAGTTTTAAGTCCATAGGAATGTATTAAATCAGTTTTAATACGTTCCTATGGGCTTTTTTATTTCACTTAACGATGGATTCGCTGAGTGAGGGTTAATCCGGAACGGATTAACCTCGCTAAGTGAGGCACCACCGTATAGGCATCAAGAGGGCAGAAAAGTGTTAGACATCCTTAAAGGCACAACAGTTCATCTCCTAACAATAGCATCAAGGAAGTCTGTGACTCTTTCTGCAATGTCACTCATCTCAGCCATCAGCATATAACAAACTTTATCCTGATCTGACCTCCCTTCCAGCTTTAAAAAAATTGGGGCTATTAACCTTGATCGAGTGAAGCGGGCAGTGCAAAAACATATGAACAAGGGTTTCCAGCACCCCCTGTGCACATGCACAGTGCCTTTCAGAATAGGGAACTGCATTAAATCTGCCATATAATATAGCAGTAGGCATGACATTGCATCTGGCCAAAGAAAAGGCCCTACATTTTGGGGGGCATTTGAGCAATGAAAGGTAGGCAGCAGGTTTACTCACTTTAGGAGGAATATGGAAAAACAATGGTGAACAGAATTTATTGGCAGCACTACAAAGGTCCTGGAATTCAATATCCAAAATTCTTTTTTTAATAATCTGGAAAGCTAGCTCTTGACTTAGAGCTCCAAGGTAGTAGCTATCTATACCAATTGATTTCAATTTTTTCAAGAGGACCGTTGAACCAAAAGGCAGCGCAGAGTCCTGCAGAAGTTGGTATAGTAAACTGTCCATGTTTGACTTGTAATAGATACTTAACCAAAATTTGAATGATCTCAACCAAGCTACAATCTGTATTAAAGATAGTCCAGACAAAGTACCGAGTAGGGCACACTTTGCGTATCTAGTCGTGGTGGACTACTCTAGGCGAGTAGGGCACGCTTTGCATAAGGAGGAGGATTGTAGCTGAGAAGTAGCCAATACCAAATTGGCCTTCATGATCAACAGAATTTTTGTATAGTCTGGATTAAGTCTCAATCTGTTCATCCACATCCACATTGTTCCTTGGTATCAACTTGCTTGTCATCTAGATTAAACCAGTACAATTCAGAAGAATGCTTTGGATTTCAAATGCAGAGATGGGAAAAATAAGAAATGTGGCTACCATACATGCTTGCTAGACCACACATTAAACTGATACATAATGCAGAAAATTGGGGTGGAGGAAGGAATCGGATGCTAGAGACTGTCACTGCTTCTGTCATCATAAAATTGAATTGTTTGTCCACCATTCCCTGTCCTACCACTATGTCAGAAAGATTTTAATAAACGCAAAATAAGGAGAACCAACACAGAATATACAGTACTAGAGGTACCTGAAGGAAAGAAATTTATTTAATGTCATGATGGCACAAGCAAGAACCTAGGCATATCTTGGAGGAAACTCTGAGGGACAGGGCTAACTCTTGAAGAAGATGGCAGCACAGTCTGCTTACTCCTCACTCTTTCTGCTGATTCAAAGTGCTCAAGACTAAACCTCTACGTGGGGCTGCTCATGGAAAATGGCAGGAAATTTCAGCAGGTCCAAAATACAGCAGCCAGTATCTAGGCACAATTCAAAGTGTTGGTTTTAACTTATAAAGCCCTCAATGGCCTAGGTCCAAGCTATCTCAAAGACTGTCTTCCCCCATTATGAGCTGGCTCGGGAGTTCAGATCATCAGGAGAGGTCTTTCAATCCCTCCACCTTCACAGGTGCGTCTGATGGGAACACCGGAGGGCCCTCTCTGTTGCTGCACCCAAACCTTGGAACTCCCTCCCACGGGAGGCCAAAATGGACCCATCTTTGCTGTCCTTCTGCACTTCTCCAGGCAGGCAAGATTTTCCTCAGATTTTTTTAGATGGACTGTTATGCATTAGTGCTTTAATTGGGTTTTTATTACTACTTGTGTTTACCTGGAAGTTGAGTCATGGCAACTGGACTTATTTCTTCTTAGGTTGAAATGTTTCACTACTCATCCAAGCAGCTTCTTCAGTCTACTTGTGTTTACCATTTTTCAGAGTGGCAATTATTTGTTCCTTTTTAATATCTGTACACTTATTTTTTAGCATGAATACTGTCTTTTAATGATGTAAGCTGCCTTTTCATATTCATTGTTCTTAGCTATAAATATTGTCTTTTATTGATGTAAACCACCATTGTTCACTCATTATTGTTAGCTTTAAATATTGTCTTTCAGTGATGTAAGCCACTTTGGGTCCTTTCTAAGGAGAAAGGTGGGGTAAAATATTTTAAATAAATAATTTAAATAATAGAAGTGACTGGTGCCATGCTTGTTGAGTCTGTGTCTTCATTCTGAGTTGTATATTCAATGTATATTTGATAGTTGAAAAGAGTAAGTAGCTTTGCATTCAGTCAAACTGTCCAAAGCTTGTTACATTTCCTAGAATGTGTTGCAGGTAGAATACATTTATATATATTCATTAATTATTTTATTTAAAATATTTTTACCCCATCTTTCTCCTTAAACAGGACCCAAGGCAGCTTAAATAATTAAAATACTGTACAGTATTTAAATCAAAAACAGTGAGTATGCAAATGCAAAAAGGGTCAAGCAAATAACATACTAGAAAACAAGAGCAACACCAAAACACAATCAATACAGTAAGGTACAACAATCCATTTAAAACTCCACTCAAGCAGCCAGTCACTCAGGGAAAGCTTTCCTGAAGAGAAAGGCCTTTGCCTGTTTGCAGAAGGACAGCAAAGATGGGACCAGTCTGTGGGAGAGAGGTCCAAAGTCTAAGAGCAGCAACAGAGAAGGCCCTGTCCTGTGTACACACCAAGTGCACCTGTGAAGGTGGTGGGCCAGAGACAAAAGCCTCCCCCGATTATCTTAATATTTGAGTAGGCTCATAAAGGGAGATACGGCCCTTGAGACAGCTTGGGGCCAAGCTGTTAAGGGTTTTATAGGTTAAAACCAGCAATTTGAATTTAGTCCCAAAATGGATCATCAGACAGTGGAGCTCCTGTATCAGGGGAGTTGTATCCTGTTACAGCAGCTCTAGTCAGCAATTTGGCTGCTGCATTTTGCACTCACTGAGGTTTCCCAACACTTTCCTCTAGAACAGATGAAGGTGGTGAATCCTAAATGGATGACTCCCAGATGGATAATTCGTTACACCAACTCTGAGGAGAATTACAAAAAGACTGGTCTGATCTCCAGCATATGCCATCTATTGCCAACAGATGCAAAGCTAACAAACTTTTTAGAAACTGAATAGCACTGAACATTTAGCAAATCAATCTCTTGAACCAAGTCTAAATCACAACTGAAAACTGCAAGAACTACAAAAACTTAGATACGTACTCTATATGAGAAGACAGAAGATACTGAAAATCATAGCAGACAAAGGAACCTATATGATGTCAAGGAAAATGTGGAAGAAAACATGGTATTCTGGACAGTTGCCTGGTAGGCTAACATCTGCATCTAATTAACCACTATACTGAAAGAGTGCACTGAGCCCTAAAACTTCAAAGTCCCTAAATCAAGACCTCACTAGGAACACAGTCTGGTCTGTGCAGCACCCCACAAACATCCAAACACTAGATCATGTCCACAAGACTTATCCTATCAAATACGAAGGCACGAAAATGTCAGTCTGCCAAGATCTGGCAGCAAAAACCCTGTAAGTAAATAGGGATTTACATCCACTTATAGAGATACTAAGGATCAGAGCACAACAATGCTGTGGATTCCCCTTCAAGCTTATGTAGTCAGAAATGGGAAATTCCTGAATGCAACAACACCTCTTCATTGAATGGCATAAGGTAAATAAATGTCCAAACACTAAAAGAATTGAATTAAAGCAACTGGAATCAGAAAACTGAGGCCATGTCAACAAAGAGAAGGGATCCTATAATAAGCAAGGAAATAGGTGCTTAATAACAGCAGCTCATGTGGAAGCTCTCAAATTTAATGATTACCAGGTTTATTATCTTGACACATGAAGTGGCTGGTGTACC